CTCATGCGTACTAAGCTTCATTTGCATTGCTGCAAGCTGAGGCCACAAAATGAGGCATCAGGAGAGACAGTGGCACACTGCTTACAAGGGCAGAGTTAGAGTAAGGACAGGGGATGAGAGAGAGAGGGAGAGAGCACAGGCAGAGTCAGGAAATCAGGCTAGCAGATTAGGAAAAGCTAATTCGATTCAGGTTGTGTTTCTAAAATGACTTCAATTATTACTGTAGAACCGTTGTTATCAATCTGTAAAGCAGGGAATTTCTGTCTGTATGTGTATGTCTACACATTTACAATTGGCAGGTGTATGGCGATTGTATCCCAAGAGCAGGCATAACAAAGATGGTGCAATTTGGAAACCTGCCTAGTTCATGATAAGAAAAGTTGGAAATAACAAGCGAACAGCCTCCAAACAGGTTCCAAGCAGCCATGTTTGACACAGGTGTTGTCGGAGAAATACAGGAATGATAGTACTGCAAACACATGCCAAAACGGCACGTCAGTTCAGAGTTCATATATACAATGTATTCTGCACCGAGCTGGTCTGAAAGTGACTTACCATGGAAAGAAAAAAAACTCCTTGAGTCTGAAAATGTTTCCTCAGAATCAGTGAGCTGGGAACTGTGATTCGCTAAAAATAAAACTCTTCTTAGAATTTCCACAAACACTTCACCTGATTATAACCTGGCAAGACATTCAAATCAAATTAGCTTCACACACTAGTGTATTCAATGGAGCGTGCTTAAGTTTCACTTTCGATTGCATGATATAGCCCAGCGCTACACCTTCGTCACACATGTTGCCACTTGTTTGTACCATTTTCTGGCGATTTGTAATCTGTTCTAGAAAAACGATGTGTTTTTTAGGATTTCAAGAAGCACATACAAACAATGGATGTATTTTATGAACATTTATCCTTGTAGTGTTGATTTATTGTGTGAACGAGGCGATATAGAGAAGGTTAAGCTGTCATTATTAGGCTGTTATGTACTGTTGGAGTGGTAAACTGGCCTCTTGTTTTGGGATATTTGTGGAGTTAGGTGGTCCGTGAGTGTTTTTTTATTGGTTAAGAGGTCCTTGGTTGGTATGAAAAAGTTTGAGAAACACTGCGCTAGCGGATTATCAAAGGGGGGGGGGGGGGGGGGCCTCACTGTGGGGAAATTATACAGATGGCCAGTCCGCCCCTGAAAAATGTCTATGCACACTTTATTATTAATAATTTTTAAAAAATGATAATTTTTTTCTTTTTTAAATGTTGTAATCCTCTCGCACTCAGGGTCCACTTTGGGAGCCCCTGGGTTGGAGGACACACTTAAATCAAGTCATCTGAAAACAGAAAATATCAAAGTAGTCAACATTTTAGTCTTAACATCTTTCATCTACACATCACATCAGTGGGTCCATCATCACACGCATTTCTGTGGCCAAAAGCCATTTAAATCCCAAAGTTTCACAGACATCAAATGTGTTGTTCAAAATGACATCACGACACGATGCCAAAGACATCAAAGGTACAGAAAAAATAGTGCCATCTTGAACGAGAATATTTCCCTAAATTTAAGCTTCCTGCAGCTTCAATGAAGTGATGAAAAATGCAGATGCGGAATATATTATTTTTGGATCTGCAAGAGATTTTTTATCTAACTTTGATATTTCTTAAAAGCTAACATTGTGGAAGCACTAGAGTTCAAATGGTTAACTTTCTTTGAAATTAGAGCGAGTTCCGCTGCTTTTTCCGATATCTGTTTTGTGTGATGCTTTTTTAAAAAGCATTAATAGAACATTAGGAGTAAATGGATCTGAACTGTCCTTGCCCTTGGCAATAGTGGCTCCGTTCCAAGTGAACACACTCTCTCACGCTCTCTTTTATCTCTTCCAGAGATGAGATTCTCCAATTAAACCTCTAACACAACACAGCAATACAAGTTCATTTGTAAAATGCTAGCTCTTCAAAGTAATATAAAGTGTGGTAGTAAGAGAATGAACAGGGGAGAGACGGAAACATGAGACAGAAGGCCTTTGGTTTTATAACAGCAGAGTTTCAATATCCAGCACCTTTTTATTAGTTTTGAGAGAGGCAATGTCAGCCAAGCAACTTTCTGGGTAATGATACCGAGTAATTTAATTAAAAGTGGAGATGGAATGGGAACGACAGCCTCCAATGAGAGAGGGGAGAGGAAGAAAAAGAATGAGGTAGAGAAGGGCAAGAAAACACAGGATGAATAAACCTAACAGTAGCAGCCTCTTCTTTTCATGCCTCTTCCGTTTGTTCCTCAGCCTCGGCTCCCTAAGACAGCCTTAATGCGTCTACTTCTCTCGTAGATTTGATCAGGCGAGGAAAGCGGATGTAGCTCCTGCACACACATGCACATTTGTGAATGGACTGATGTTGCCGTTCAGATATCCCACTTTTCTCTCTGTGGCTGCAGAGAGAGGCTCCACAGGCTGTGTGCATCTCAGCAGACACCCTGCCCGGCAAAATGAGTAAATAAAACATGAGAGCGAGATAAATACGCTGACTACCTGCTAAAGCCACAACATGATTCACATATCATTTCCAGCTCTTTCGACGATAGGTAACGCAAGCTGACAGACAGCAATCTTGGTCCTTCATGTCACGTTACGCCTCCGGTCCTCCATTAATATGTATGCAGCCTCATCACTGGGTTTTTTTTGCATTAAATTCCATTCCCCTGTGGAGAGCGGAGATATGAGCTTTGAGAGATTACAATCACTGTACCTGCAGGAAAGTAGATAATTATGCAGGCTAGTTTTAATAAGAAAACACCAGCTACGGGTTAAATATTTTCATTCACCCTTCCACCCCCTTACTGACAGCTGCTCACACCTCTTCCCCTCCGAAGTCATTTAGGAAGTCAATATCACACATCAACTTAAGCTCCTCCAGCCTCTGTCTTTCTTTTTTTTCCCCCTGTCTCTCTCTCTCTCTCTCTCTCACAGACAATCAGGAGCCGTCACTCTGATGGTCGCCTGTCATGCATAATAAGAAACGTTGACATTTCAGAGAGCAGAGAGGACACGCCGATAAATCCACATAAAGGTCTCTCACATAGTGGCCTCTGAGTGAGCAGGTAAGTGGATTGTTTTAGCCGAGCACACTGCACCTCTACAGCTGAACAGCACAACACTGAATGTCCAGGAAGTCCTTGGGGCAGCATTGATATTTCAGTATGATAATCGACATGAACTCAGGTGGGGTGCCGGCTGCCGGTAAAAGTGTTACCTCTCAGGCAGGCCAGCCAAATGAACCTTCTTCATTATGCCACTGTGCTTGGGTCACGTCTCTGCAGGTACTGAGCAACTCTCCGGTGTGCCACTGCTCTCTGGTGGGTTCACGCACAGTATTTTAAGCAGAGCACAAGGCAGAACAGGTGTTGCAGGGGTTTGTTGAGAGAGCAGGTGCAGCTGTGTCGACTCTAAGTAGCTGAGACCTGATCCTGTAGCTCACTGCAACACCTCTCACTGCATAACATATAACCGTCTGCGGGAAGGTTTTATTTTCAGTGGCACAACATGACCTCAATATGGCATCTGTAATGGAAAATACTGCCACTGTTTTCAAGGTTGACTTGGCATGAAAATTCAGTTTGTAGCTTTTTTTGGGTTGCTATTAAGAAAGAGGCGACCGGGCACGCTGTGTTTCAGATGGCAACCTGGTGAAGGTCATACAGAAATGTTGAAATGGGGTTAAGAACATAACTTGAGCTAGTGACTCTTTTTTCATGTCTTCAATTCACATGATTGGCTGGTACAATCTGAGCCACACAAACCAATGTGTGTGACCTCTGTCAGTTACTACCACAGAATATGATTCTGCTCAATGTTGCAACAATGCCATCAGTATAAAGATGAGGAAAACCTTGGTTGTATGAGTATAGAAGTGTGTGTGAAATGAAAAAGTGAATTATATGTAGACCAAAATAGCCCTGTAATAAATATTACATTTGCGAGTGTTAAGCCACATGTTAAAATCAAGTCTCTTTGAAAATACAACCTCTGAACTAGCACAGAAGGGCCGAGTCAGAAAAAGCCTATCTGACCTTTCATGATTTAGTCATCACACAATGATGCCATCACTCCTTTGCCTTAAGATGGATTATATCTGCAGAACACCAATAGGCAAGGTATGTGATGTGTGAATGGGACTGCATGATAAATATATGGATGGAAATAATTGTCTCGTGTTTTCGACCCAATGCCTTTATAACATAATCTCTATCAAATCCTTCTTTATCTCATTCTGGATGCTTCCCCACTGCAGTCTATATACCGCTACTGCTGTACACAATGAATTAGAAATGAGTAATGGCTGTTTCTGTGTTGCTTTGTTATGGCTCATCATGTCTTGAAACCCGGTTCAACCAACGTTTTTTTCTTATCTACCCCGGCAACGCAAGCTGACAGGCTGAATGACGCACAGCAATCTAGGCCTTTCGAGTTAGGTTACGCCTCTTGTCCTCCATTAATATGTATGCAGCCTCATCACTGTTTTTCACATTTGATTCCTTTCCCCTGATATGAGCTTTGAGAGATGAAAACATACCCTTACCAGAGATAAAAACAAGATGGTCTATTCCTATAAGACATAAGCTATTTTATAAAAATACTAGCTTTTTCAAGATGGAACAAAAATGTGAATATCAGATTCATGGTCTGCAAATGAGATCGTCACACTGTAACTTGGCTGTTAGGAAAGGCAGAGACCTGGGAAGCTGCAATATATACATTTAAATATAAAAAATAGACCTTCAGGGTCTGCAGAGTAAATGTATCAGGCTGACGCACTGCTGTCATTCCTTGCAAGAAGGTCAAGTCAAACTTTTATTACTGCAGATCAATTCCTACTTCACTTGATAAGAGCTCCTTACTTAATGAGAACAGTTGAGTTCAAGTCCTTTGGGAAGGGTTTCTATATATTGCCCTGACTGTGTAACTTGTGTTAGGAATGGACTCACTGTTCTGTGTGCAGGGGTTTGAACTCACCTCGGGGTTGGTCCACCTGGTCTTGATTGTCTCAGACATCCGCTGTGTACAGCCCAGCAGGTCATACCCCTCCCTGCTCTACAGGCGGAGCACACAAACACACAGCATTTCAACATTAGTACTTCGTCATTCCACTAATCATTTAGAGAAGAACAAAATTACTGTATGTTTATTTATCAGTTTATAACTGTATACAAATACAGACAAAATGCATCGTATTTTTTTACCAAAATGATATTATGAAAATATCTTTGCTTTTAGAAAGAAAATGCATCGTATAACTGTGACAAGTCAATCACGGATAACTTTTGACTTTTATGGTTTGCCATCATATCAATACTGTCCGAGATAAATGGATCTTTCACATGAATACACTGACACAGTAAGCAGGATAAAACCTAGAGTAGGTTTATGGTAAATAATGTGGCCTTAGGCTGTGTGTGTGTGTGTGTGTGTATGACCCCTTTGTCTCTCATCAATCAATTCCATATGTGGCCATGATGCACGAGTAGACCACTAAATTGTACTGCTCTACTTTTTGTTTTTCAGATGTGCATTCACAGGGTAAAGGACAAAACTCGTGCTCTGTAAATTACACTCAGCACGCGATGTGGGTCGTCACTTCTACAGCTAAATGCTCCGCTTTTGTCATTCAGTTTATTTCAGTGTCCACAAACAAAACCCTTGAATGTTTGAAATATTAATCCAAAAACGAAGTCCTGGTTTCTGATACTATCACACCTCTGTTAATTGGTCCTTTGTGCAATAACCCATACTGAATGTGTTTAGTGGGCTGATAACATCTGCCTCTGGTTCTATAATCATCACAAACACCATGCTCTGCAGAACTGAGTGATGATGGAGTTATTCTCACAATCCAGCACCGCATTTGCCCGGCTTACTGGACCAACTGCAATGCTGAGTTTTGACTCCCTAGACCTATTAAATACGCCTGAAGCAGAAAGCCATCTGGGAAATGGAGGAAGGGTGAATTGGCATCAAGCAAACATAAATGGGATATATTCATAATGTTCCCATTTCACAGTTTTCCTAGGAATTATTTATGTAGCCGTGTAATTGAATCCATGTATTAATGAGATCATGTGGGTGATCATACATTGTTATGTTTAAAATATTACAGAGCTCTAATGAGTTGACTTAAAGACTGCTAGCCTACAGCTGTTGACATATTATTTAGCCTGAATTTGAAATGCAAACCAGATAGACAATGTTTTGAATACTTTATGTCATAGAGTTCAGAGTTAAATACATTGTGTTCAAGTACAGTAGAGAGCATGTTGTAAATAAAACAGAGGAGTTTTATCTTATGCACACTTGTCATAGGGCTGGGTGATATGACTAAATGTATTTATCATGGTCTTTTTTAACAAATATCTTGTTGAGATTGCAGTGTTGATCATGACATCACATTTGGAGAAAAATAACTGATTGCGATATTTTGACTGATATTGCGACTTGCGATATCAGAGGGAATGATCAACTTTGAAAAATTATTCACATTATTATTAAATCATTAAGTAAATTAAGGGTTATAAAGGGTTTTAGTAGAGTACTGTTAGTATGGCAGGACTTTTCTGAAGGACCACAATACTTCATTCAGAATGATTATCTTCACATATTTTGCCTTTACCATCGCTTAGTGGATTTGCATATTGTACTAGTCCATATTGTGATTTTGTGAACATTTTGATTATGTTATGCAGGCCTATAAAAATATAATCATTATTTGGATTTGGATATAATGATTAAGTGGGTAACAGTACAAGACTGAAAATGCAAAAGTGACATTACTTTACTGTTGGAGAGTAAGGATATCTATTAGCATCAATATATTGCCCATACCTAACCCGATGTGTTCCGAGTGTGTGACTCACCTTCTGCCAGACGTAGGCCTCAAACAGCGTGATGATCTCATGCTCGCGATGCTCACCTTGCACGGCACACACCACGCAGATGACTTTCTCATCATTTTTACAGTAGAGGGAGCCTTCCTGCTCATGCTCCTTGCAGCGCAGTCTCTCTACTGTCACGTTGTTATTCTTCCCAGCCTCTCCGGCCGCCGCGGCCTCCTGCCCTGCTTCTGCGCCCTGTGCCCCATCGCCGGGCTCAGCCTCCAGCTGCACGCCATTCTGAGCTCCATCTTTTTCCACAGCATCACCACTCTCATCGACTTTAGCCATGGCCCCTCCGAGAAGCGCCATGTCCTGATTAGCGGCCATCCCGAATGCCCTCTCCACACCAGCCTCATCCTCAGCTCCATCTCCGACTCTAAAGTCTCTGCTGTTGCCAAGTCCATTAGCCTGTGTCCCCTCGTGATTGTAAGGCATTATGGGGTGATGTGTGCTGCTGGCATGTCTGTCAGCATGGATGGAGCAGAAGGCGAAGCTGCAAGTGTAGCACACGTGTGTGGCCGGTTGTGCCTCGTCAGGCTCGCAGGCATCACATGACCCATCCATCTGTGGCAGCTCCTCATGTTTCAGCCCCAAAGCTCCATCCTGGGGTACCTCTTTTTGGTCCATGGTGGCTGATAATAATTCTGGGGATAAAAGGACTAATCTTGTAGGAGACACACAGAGTAGAGGACAGGATATTAATAGCTGTGACCTTCTGTGAACAGCTCTCGTATTTGCACAGGGGAAAGTCCAAGATCCTCTGGACTAATCCCCTCTGATGTGATGTTGGCAGAGGATATATGGAGGGGTACACACAAAGAAACAACATCCAGAGCAACAAAATCTACACACAATCATCATTTCGCAAGGACAATACACACGGACACCCCATCTGCAGTCACCTTACTGTCTTTGTTTTCAGTTTGTTTACTAACTCAGAAAACAGAAAGTGCTGAGTATGGCTATACCTTGGGCATGACCAAACACCCACGCTACTCTTATCTCACCTTCCTCTGCATGGCACCAGGCCCTGACCTTTACGTGTTTTGTTTGTTTATCTTCATGCCCTCGCACCCTACTTTCATTTCACTCTGCAGGGGTGAAAAGGAAAGAGTAAAAGGCAGAGGTGCATGACTTGTACACAGAAAGAACCCTCATGTTCTCCTCGCTTTCCATTCCTCCTTTGAACCCTCCTCTCCTGGGCTATGTCTGTGTACTCTTTCCCCACTGCTGACACAAACAACCGGAAGAAAGATGCTGTAATGCAGAGAAAAGACTCTCCCTCTGCCACAGCTCTCTCTCTCTGCTACTTCTCTCTCAGACATACAGTGCTTCCTCACACACACATACAGACATGTCCTCCCTATTCCTGTGGGGTTTACCGGTTTGCAACTCTCTGCAGTGTACTTACTTGTCTTTGTCTCCTTCCTGTTTCTCCGTCTAAGGCTTGTTTTGTGAAAAAAGTGGAGGAATTAGCTTGACGGCTAACTTCCTTAGCACAGCCGTGGTGCTTTTAATTCTATTACTGAGCTGTCGACGGATCTGCGTTCACTTTACAGCATAAAAGGGGCTCCTGCTTCGATCCGACAGCGTTTACTTCCTTGTTTTCATGAGCTCCTATCAGTTGTTTTTCTTCTACTTCCTGCTTGTAGTCTCCTGTGTGTATGTGAACGGCAGAGACACGCAGAGGCTGGAGAGAGAAAACCCGTTTGACAAGCAAGCACTACAAACAAAGTGAAACTCCTTGCCGGAGGCAGGTGAAAAACACTCTCCTTACAGTTGCAACGTTAATATTTAAACTAGTAGTTTTGTCATGAGCGATTTTGTTTTAATAATTGTGTTATGTTAATCACCGCGTATGGTCTTTAATGTGTCTAACTGTACGTCTGTTTAACACTACCCGCCGCAGCTGTAAGCTAACGTTCATTGATTTAAGTTGAAGCCATTCAAATCGGGCAACAAAAAAATAAAAGCAATAAAAGCTATTTTAGCAAACACTGACTTATATGTTCTCTTTATACATCCATTGTCAAAACATGCTAAATAATTTGATCTTAAGTTGGAGTTTTCTTTGTGCTAAAAATAGGAATAGAATAATAAAAACATGTTCAAAACTCAACAGAAACCACATGATGGCAGAGTATGTAGAACTCATGTGTGCATTTAAGCTAACATTAGCTACAATGGAGTCAACGATGATCAGCTCCTGTTTTCATCAAAAATAAGAAAAGAAAAAAAGTATTTATATCATGGTTGTTTTATAAAACTGCAGACGTTCCTGAAACCTTGCATGTATACTTTGCACGCTCAAATAACAGGCTTGCTTAGATTAATATGATGACATGGTAGTCATCGTGTAATGTACAAGTCATAGGCTACTAATTAGTTATCATAGTACTTTGAATACCTAACAAGCAAACATGGTCTCTCAACCAATGCAATATAACATTGTTTTGTAGAAAGAATTTTCCAGAAAATTATACAAAAATCATGATCATGATCATCTTATGTTATTTTGTTGCTAGTAAGAATTTGATAATGAGTCTTTGAAATGAACCTTAGATCAGACTTTTCCCCAAATTTCTAAAATGTGTCTTCTGTTTAAAAACATAATTGATGCTGTTATTCATATTATAATCATCAATGCCAACGTTTTAACAACATTAATGTCAATATAAGGGCCTGGTGATTAGATACAAATAACTCAAGCAATATCAGGTCTATATTATCAATTGAAAAGCAATCCGTTTTTTTTAGTGAGCTTTAAGTAGTGTTAAAAATAGTGCCTGTTATTGTTCATGCATGCATTCAAAATACATTACTGAAAAGTGAATGGCAGGTACAAGGCTGAACTTAACGTTGCCCTATATTTGAATACAGGATAAGGTTCAAATTAAATTAGGGTAAACACATTGTGAAATTGAACACCGCTGGTTAATGGGGAGTTTCTAATTATGATGTCTGCTTTCCCTTCTGTACACGTCCTTCCTTACCCTCCATAAACCAGCACAGAGACAATGGAGCAGGATTAGAAGTCTGGAGAGAGACAGAGAGATGAGGAAAAACAAGCTGTTCTCTGTTGAGAGATCTAAAGAGGCTATTGAGCTAGGCTTCAGACAAGCAGTATTTGGCATACAATTGTTTACTGCAACTGTGATTTAAATGGGACATAATAAATAACTATAAACTACATTCCAAGCCCCGAGCATCCACTTTATATGGATGATGATGATGCTGTTTTTGCCAACGTTTTTAGCTGTTTTGAGGAGGATTGCTCCTTTAAAATGTGCCTTGGCATGAAACTTCCTTAAGCCATGCTTATTTTGAAATAAAAATGTGTTTACAGAGGCTGTTAAATGTATGATGTATGAATGATTCTGATCCGAGTTTTGGCCAGAAATAAGAGCACAAATGATTTTGCACTTCCAACCATAAATGATCTATTAGTAATGAACCAAACCACATGGTCAGTGGAAAGTTAAACGGCCATCTGACTTATTTCAAATGTTTCACAGCAATAAACTGCCAAACAGTAAGGGACAACATTATCTTGCACACTGCATATAACTGAAAACAATTAAAAGGCTCATTGACTTGCAATTAATCAGAATAAGCACTCAATATAAATACAAAATGTGGCTACTAATGGGAACTTTGATTTGTTCTTCAAGGGATTGCAGTGGAATAAAATGTGACATACAATTTGGGCTAAATTGTTTAGCTAAATTGTGTTTCTACAGATCGTAAATAGCCTGTGCTTCGAAGTTGGCAACATTAAAAACGCCAAGCTCTGAGAAAAGGCCGCCAAGAGTGAAGGCGGGAGGTTTGGCAGACACACAGAGAGCAGACAGAAAGCTCTTCCTAATGCGTCAGTTTTAACATTGTTTTATTGGCATGTGGTCATTTCTAGATGAAATTTCTGTCAGTGCAAACAGCACCGGTCTGTCAGAGGAGCACTTCTCTCTCTCAACCTAAATCTGTTGATATTTGATTCTGTCTCTCAACTCCCCATGTTATCCCTTAACCTGTCATAGCTGTGCATCATAAAGCACAATCAATATGCTGTTTTGCAAGGTTGTTTGTGGCTTCCTGGAGCCATTTTCTTGCTGCAGCATAACTCAACCCTGCTGAATAAAACCTTTTTAAGTTAACTCCTTCAAAAGTGGTTAGGAACACAGACTGAAGTAAAGAGGGATTCATTTAATTGTGCTCAGATGGAGTTTACCTGCTTCATTTTTAGTTTTGCTTTGTGAGATATGCGTAGGGAAAGGTAAAGGAAGGACAGCTGTCAAGCATGATCAGAGGCAGTGAGCAGTGAGATGCAGGTGAGGAAAGAAGAAAAAACAATTTTGTAAGCAGAGCACATACTGTATGAAGGACAGAGATACAGAGCCTTATTTGATAAATGTGTCATCCAAGACATTGTAATATCAAGATCTTACAATATTCTCCTAAGAATGCACTCAAAACCTATATTTAGTCCACCCTAGCTGATGGATTTTGTGCATACATTTTTTGATATTTACTTAAAGTTTCAAGCCTTTCGTTAATGTAGATATTTAAATATAATTGAAATGTCTACAGCAATGGTTTTCGAGAATATTGATTGGCATGAATGTAAGCTTTTTCTTTTTCTACTTGCATTACAGAACTTCAGTTCAAACACCTCTCGTCATTAGGTTAAGACCTGTTATGATTCCACCCCCTGCTAATAGGGTCGGGAACTTTCCCAGCATTGATTTCAGCTCCATTGGTGTATTGTAGGACCATAGCTGTCATCAATCAGACTTTCTTTATATTCTGTAGCATTATCTCACAGCTAACTGTGATTATAGTATCATGGTAAAAATGATATGAGACAACTTCAGTGTAAAAAACAAGGTGTACAGAGGTTCATCTGAATAGAAACAATTTGTTTGTTTTTCTCAGCACCTGAGTGAAGTTCCTATTTCAGTTTCATTAATCTAACTTAAAGCTGTAATGTCTGCCTCAGAACTGAGGTCATATATTTACAAATTGCTAGGCCGCAGCCTCAGTTTTGCTATTTTTCAAATGGCCGCTCTATCATAAATACGTCCAGAACACATTATCATTTGTATCATGCAAAGCAGCAAGTCATTACCATCTACTGCCAAAGGCATATACACTTATCTCTCTCTCTGTCTCCCTCTCGCCTTCTTGTCTCTTTAGAGAAGGAGAAAAACATATTTTCAGTGCTTTGTCATAAACACAGAAATACTCAAGTTTGTGAGAATGGGTGGAGGCTGAGAAGAAGCACTTCCTAGACTAGGAGAATATGAGTTAAAGGTTGAGGGAATTTTGCATTTGTAAGTTCCTCTAAGAGGCTACAGGTTGGATTGTTGAACCATTGTTTTGGTATTGCTAGAGTCAAAGTCCCCCATAATGATAACAAAAACTTGACATGGGTTTTTTCATGCACTATAACATTCCAACATTCTGACTTTATGAGCAATATAGCCCTGCACAGATTATGGTACCACATTATTCACAATGTCCTCTTAGCCTCTGCAAGGCTATTATGAGTTACAACATCTCTTTATGGCTGTCGTGTCCTCTCTATTCCCTGGAAACCCAGAATCAATATCAAGCTTCGGGGCTGCAGCCTTCCATCAATAAGTCATTTAATCAATAATCCCCAGAGAGTACTGCATCACAACTGTTTTTGTAAGCCCAGGTTCTACAAAGCTATTGAATTATGAGTCTTTGAATTTGTGTATATTCGCAAGGAAACAGTCCTTATTGTGACCACAAATCCATGTTTTTTTTCTACGTATCATTCACACACTTATGGGGAACGCATGCATTGTTCTATTATTTAGATGGTTTTATGAAAATCTCTGGAAGATAATGATTAGCAGACACTTTTTCCCACTGCCTTTTTTTATACAGTTTATCTAAAGTCTCTTTTGTTCGAGTATTTTCCAAATCTCCATGAAGTGAATCTCTGCTAGGCTTTTCCAAGACACATGAAGCATGATATTAGATGGACACAGAGACATGAAGTGGGATGGAAAGCACAAAGCATATGAACCGAGTGAATCACCATGACTGGCCTGGCATATATTCCTTCACCGTACCCCACCTCTATTTGACAACACTGCTCTTATCGGCCTGTTACACACACTCTGTAACCACGTAACTGTCTTACACCACCGGTCGTAGGCCTGCCAATATACAACCGGCAGCTTTCTGCAAGGTTCACTGTCTACTTTTTTTCAGAGCTGCAGAAATAGGGAGCCGGGGGACGTCGGTAATAACGTTGTTCAGAACCAAACATCCAGCACGGCTAATATGATGACTTTGAATTCTCACTGCACAGTTCAGTGTGTGGAGGCAATTAAGCTTAGGCTTGTATTCCTGAGGCAAATTGCAATGTATCATACATCAGTAGTCCTTTCAGAGAGCATTTCAGGCAGTATACTGTAGATGGATTGTTTTTTTATAAATGTGTGTTGAGCATATAGCTTAGTTTGAGCAACAGTTGGAGGTGGAAAATGGAAAAGTTCTGTTTTTTTTTCGTAGGTTTCATACAATTTGAATTGTAAGGTTACTATGTTTACAAATAAGGCTGGAATGAATAATTGCTGCAATTTGCATACATTTTCAGAAAATATATCGTCTACTTTTTGGATTCTTAATGAGATATGCGCAATTGATTTGGATCTTTTCACAATCTTC